GATGAGTAATAATGAAATTGATTTAACTACAACATCAAAGATTTTTTATGATTTTGTGAACATGTCAAATGAATCGATTTCTGTTTGTACTAAAATTGTAATGGGCGTGGTATTTAATTTCATAAAGATATGAGAAAACATTTATAGAAGGTATGCACTTGCTAGTTTTAGTGTGCACAATTCATCTAGCTAAAACAAAATTAGTGTTAAATGAAAGTGATTACTTTTCTCAAAAGAAGGTTTCAAAGAAGGAAAAAAAATAGCTTTGCTTGAAATAGTACTTGATGAAAATAGTTTGAGTAAAGAATATGGAAAAAGAAAATTAACAAGAGAGGATGCAATGCAAAAATTATTTTGAAAAAAACTATAAAAGGTAAATATAAAGTTGCATGTTTTCATGAATGTCAAACACATGCATTAGTTACACTTAGAAAAAAGCAATTCCTAAGATCAGCAAGAAGCATAAATAATGTTCATAAAAATTTATTATTTTCATATAACAAAGTTAATGTAACGACTTCAAAAGATTATCAATTATTAAAAAAGGAGTTTGGGTCAAAGTTATGATAATATTGATGTATATAAAAGATCTCAAAAATGATGAGAAATTTGAAAGAATTAATTAGAGACTTTGATCCACATATATTTATCGATAATTTTAGGAGAAAGTGTGAGATGAATATGATTATGAGGTTGATAATAAAGGGAGATTGATGAGAATTATCGAGAACATTACTCTTTACATAGATATGTATTTTCATTTAGCACAACATACAATACAAATAAGTATTGTATGATTTTTGTACCATTCACTAGTATAAATACCCTCGACAAAGTATAACCTTTTAAATTGTCTTCTTTGCAAATGAAAAGGTTGATTCATTTATATGGTTATTTGAGACATATTTAAAAGAAATGGAAAGACATAAATCTATAATGATCATAACAATCGAGACCCAACTATGATTGTAATAGAGAAGATTTTTAATGGTTCTTCGCATAGATTTTACATGTGACAAGTTTTGAAAAAACTTTTATAAAAGAGTGTTTCTTTGAATGTGAATTCTTAATTTTAAAGTCGTTTCAAGTCATGTGTTTGGGTTTCAAAGTCTTTAGAAGAATTTGAATTAATATAAAGATTATTATTAAAGAGTTTAAGTTAGGAGGACATGGTTGGCTATATCAAATGTACAATATTCGAAGTATGTGAATACCAACTTCTTTCAAAGATATATTTATGTGTGGAATTTTGAGAACAACTTCAAGATGAGAGAGTAAAAATTTATTTTTTTTGTGTAACTACTTCAATAAGAACCTTAACTTGGTGGAATTTTCGATGTAATTTGATTATGCAATAGAAGCACAAAGGTATAAGAAACTATTTGGAGGCAATGATACACTTCATTCTATTTTAGATTCTATTTTAGATTGAAGTTGCATACATATATAGAGAACCATGTTAGAGAAATTTACACTCATGATTTTTATTTTTTCTTACATATTTTATAAAGAGTCATGGAGTGCTTGTGTTGATTGTGGAATTAAAGAACTAAAGAAAAATATGGAAAATCAATATTTTCTATACTTGATAACATTATGGTCAATGGAATCAAAGTAAGTATAGAGAAGTTGTTTATCATCCTTCAAATCACAATACACAATGTCCATGTAAGATGTTTAAATTTGAAGGTACGTCGTGTCAACATATTTTTTTTTGTGATAAAGGAAAAATGTTTAAATGAAATACCAAGCCATTACATTGGTAATAGATAGACAAAGTTGGAAATTAGATAGACCAATTTTCAAATATGACAGAAATGTGAGGGAGGAATATTATAAATTAGAGAGTGATAGCAAGTTAATTTCATATGAATGGACATAATTGTTTAAATGTGTGCATATGCTTGGTACATGTAAAAAGATATTAATCATCATCTAAATAAAGATTTTAATATTGAATTCAAATTAGCTAACATGTTGTATCGAGCTCCATAAATGATGTCTTATTTGATGGGGTTATTTTTATGGTATTTGTCTGAGAGGATATTTTGTTAATTATTTTTATAAGGTTATTACACAAACATACTCCATAATGATGAGATATTGTCCGCTTTGGGCCTTAGCCCTCACGGTTTTGCTTTTGATCATCACGCTGGGCGTGACCTCGAGTGCGCCGGGCGCGCAAGGAGATATGGTTATACATGCTGTTAGCTGTTGAATTTTGCTGAGGTTGATAATCAATGTTGTTATATGCTGAACTAGGCCGAACTTGATGAATATGATGTGTTGACTAGGTGATAAGGCTGAGAAAATAATGTTTAGCTGTATTAGAGGTATATTGTTGTGCTGAGTTGGGCTGTGATCGATGAAT